GACAGGTTTTCCGAGCGCTCCTTGCCCCCGGGCCCAGCCGGGGGACCTGATCCTGAACCTGGGCCTGGACTGGCCAGCGCCGCCCCGCCTGACGCTGCCCGCGAACGGTTCTTCTGTGGCCGCCACGAGGCGGCACCCGTGCCTGTGGAGAGAGATGGAGAGCAGTGAGGCTGAGACTGGAAAGAGACAGAGAGGGAAAAACAGATGAGAGATGGAGATTATAGAGAGACATAGAATTGGCCACACAGAGGTGAGACTGCTGCCCACATTTAGGCTTTAGCATATGCTGTTCCCTATACCTGGAACATACCTCTTACCTGACACCTACCCATCTAGCAGTTTTCAGCCCAGAAATTCATTTATTCTTTCAACAAATATTTATTGAGCACCTACTATGTCCAGGCACTGTTCTAGGCACTGGGGATTCCACAGGGAACACAGAAGACCCTCCCCTCAGAGAACCACCTCCTCCTGAACACCTTCCCTGACATTCCGAGTTGAGGCAGGTGACTGCATCCCTGAGCACTCTGGGCTCTGGTTGTCTGGCGCCAGCACCCAGCACAGGCCCTGGCACATAACAGGTGCCTAGTGGAATTTAGATGAACAAATGAACTGATGTGGTTCTCATCAGGCTGTATGTTCTGGGACGCCAGGGACCTCACCTCTCAATGTCCCCACAGTATTCCCAGGGCCTTAAATAATGTGTAAACAGTTCTGGTGGTGCAATGGTTAAGCACTCCACTGCTAACCAAAAGATTGGTGGTTTGAACCCACCAAGCAGCTCCTCAGGAGAAAGACCTGATGATCTGCTTCTGTAAAGATTGCAGCCTAGAAAACCCCATGGGGCAGTTCTACTCTGTCACATGGGGTCGCTATTAGTGGAAATCGACTCAACAGCACCTAACAACAACAACAACGAAATAATGTGTGGCCCACAGTACATGTTCAATGAATGCCTTTTGGAATTGCACCTACTATATTTATTATGCACCTACTATATTTAATGAGCCCTGGTTGCACAGTGGTTAGCTTGGCTGCTAACCAAAAGGTCAACGGTTCAAACCCACCAGCAGCTCTGCAGGAGAAAGATGTGGCTGCCTGTTTCTGTGAAGATTTCCAGCCTTGGAAACTATATGGGGGCAGTTCTACCCTGTCCTATAGAGTCACTATGAGTTGGAATTGACTTGACTACCATGGCTTTAAAACCAAAAAACCAAACCTATTTCCGTCGAGTTGATTCTGACTCATAGCAACCCTATAGGACAGAGTAGAACTGCCTCGTAGGGTTTCCAAGGAGCAGCTGGTGATTTCGAACTGCTGACCTTTTTGTTTGCAGCCGATCTCTTTAACCACTACGCCACCAGAGCTCCACAATGAGTTTGGTGTATTATGTGCCAAGCCCTGTGCCAAGCCCTTTATATGATATCTCTCTGACTCTTCACCTAGGATTTTGCTGAGATTAACTGGCAATGGACAGATTAGAATGCAAGCCTGAGTTCAAAGCCCATGAGTTTAACCACTATACCATTCTAGCTCCTAAAGAGAGACTCGGAAACAAAAAAGACATGAGTAGATTCCTTGAATATCCCCTGGCTCTAAGTCCTCCACGTCTCACCCCTGCCAGGCTCCAAACAACCGGTTCCTACTGAGTCGATTTTGACTCATGGTGACCCCACGTGTTACAGAGTCGAACTGTTCCGTTGGGTTTTCTTGACTGTAATCTTTATGAAGTAGATCACCAGATCTTTCGTCCGTGGCGCTGCTGGGTAGGTTCGAACCATCGACCTTCCGTAGCCCAGTGCAAACCAGGACCTAGGTTCCATCCTGTCCCTGCCATTTCCCCATTGGCACCACCTTCTGTTCCAGGCCCCGCCTTCTCAGAGACCAGGCCCCCATGCAGCACAACCTCCTGGAGCTCTGTAAATACCTCTGGCGCGTTTCTTTCCCGCGCTTCTTTCTAGCCCCGCCCCCCGGCCGCCCCCCCCACCACACACACTTTGAGGCCAACCCAGTTTAAGGCACCTGCTGCAAGGCCCGCCACCTTTGAGGCTCCGCCCATTCATAGGCCCTTCAGGCCACAACTCAGCAGCCTCCTTTCTCCTTCTCCAAGCCCCACCCCCACTTCTAGGCGCCACCCACATGGGCCCTACCCATCGTGAATCACCTCCACTTGCCTCAGGGACCCACGCCCCCAGTTCCCACACATCCACTCTGCCCAGTAACTCCGGCTCCATGCTACTCCGTTCCGCAGGCTCCGCCCCAGCACGACAGGCCTTGCCCAGAGGCTCTGCATACGCCCCAAAGGACATCTCCATGCCGACTCCTCCAGCTTCTAGTTCCCGCCAACACACAGGAAGAACCCCACGACATCCTATAGACTTCTCCCATCCCACAGGCCCCACCCCACTCCTAGGCCCCACGAAAACACTTCCCAGAATCTACTTCCACTCTATCTGAAATACCTTCAAAATCCCTGCTCCCGTTCAGGAGACCTTCAGGGACCTCCCCCGCTCCACCAACAACCAGGCCACGCCCTACCAGGTACCCAAGCCCTGCCTTGTCCTGTAAATCCCACTCAACCAATAAGCTCCACTCAATCAACAGGCCTGCTTCTCTGGCCCCGCCCATCTTGCAGACCCCGAGCCCTGCCCCAATCACAGGTCCCTCCCGTAGACACAGTCCCCAGCCCGTGGTCCTGTCCCACAGGCCGCTGGCCCTGCCCTTCTCACCCAGCCCCCAGAGCACGCCCCGCCTTGTCTCGTAGGCCCCGCCCCAGCCCTCCGTCCCTTGCCACAGCCCACCCCCAAGTCCCAGCCCATCCCCACCCTTTGGCCCCGCCCCTCTCTCCCCGCCCCCAGATTACGCCCTGCCTTTTCCTGCAAGTCCCGCCTCCAAGTCCCAGCTCCTCCTATCCCACCGGCCCCGTCCCTCTGGCCTCTCGGGCCCCGCCCCCAGACCCGACCCGCCAGTCCAGCAGGCCCCGACCCCGGGGCAGCTGCGCTCGCTCACCATCGCTGTCCGCCGCCCCGAAGGCCTCCTGCTCCAGGCGACGCGCCTCCTCGCGGCCGCGCAGCTCGAAGCGCCGCGCCCAGCCGGGCCGCGCCCGCCACAGCTCCTGCACCAGCAGCGGGCGCTCCGCGTCGCCCAGCACGCGCAGGTGCTCCGCCCTCCACTCGCCTCCGTCGCCGCCGCCGCCCGTCGATGGCCTGCCGAGCGCGTCGCAGAGCGCGAAGGCGTCCACGCCGCTGCTCTCGCCGGGGCCGCCGCTGGGGCTGCTAGCCAGCCCGTAGCGCTCCAGCGCCTCCGCTACCAGCTCGCGCGCCGTCGAGCGCGCCGTGGCCAGCACGCTCTTGTAGTTGGCGCCCGACGCCAGACCGGCGCCGAAGATCTTGAGGACCCCCGGGGGCGCCGTGGCGCGGGCAGTCAACGCAGGCTCGGGGGCCACGCCCGCTGACAGCTCGGGCAGCTTCTTCTCGCTGGCCCAGCGCTGCGCTGCCCCCGGAGTCCCCGGGCCGCCCGGGCCGCCGGACCCCGTGGTCCCGGTCGCTGAGCCCCGGAACAGCTGGGAGATGCGCTTGGCGCGGCTACCAGAGGCTCCCCCAGCCGCCTTGACCGCGCCCACTCGGCGCAGCTCCACGTGCGGTAGCGGCGGGGGCAAGGGCTCGCTGCTGCGGCTCCCCGTGTCGGAAGACGAAGACCTGGGAGCCCGCCGGGGAACAGAGACACGGGAGAGAGACCCCAGAAAGACGGACAGAGATGGGGGTGGTGGACAGGGATGGAAGGGGGGTGGGTGAAGACCCAGAGAGAGGGGGCCGGAGGCCCAAAGGGGGCGACAGAGACCCAGAGAGAGGGGAAACAGAGACCCACGGGGGAACAGAGACTCAGAGAGGGGAGAACAGAGACCCAGACAGAGAGGGACAGAGACCCGTGGGGGGGGGGGAGACAGAGAACCAGAGAGAGGCGACAGAGACCCGGGGTGGGGGGTGTGCAAGGCCCAGAGAGAGACAGACAGGCACAGGGAGAGAAGAGAACAGGAACAGACAGAGGAAGCAGAGACCAGGTTGGACGGAGAGGGAGGATGGACAGAGATGGTAGGCAAAGAGGGAAAGAAAGAGAAAATAAATAAAGGTAAGCCCCACAAAAGGAAATTCCAAGAGGTGGGCAGGCAGGGGAGGAAGGAGGGTAAATCAAGCCTCTGCTCCCCGTGTTCCCACCCTGAACCCATCAGGCCTACCCCCATCTCCAGGCCCAGCACTTCCCCACGCAGCCTACGGTCGCTGTATCCAGCTCTGGTTCCTCCCTGCCCGTCAGTTGTCAGTTCGCTTGCCCAACAGGAACCAGAGCTGACCCTTCAGGGGTCCCTGGCGTTACCCAAGGTGGCAGGGCAGGAGTCCCGAAACAGTGGGCACTCACTTGACAGAGGCAGCGCTGGGCCAGCGCCGCCCCAGCTTGGCCAGCTGCTTCCTGGGGGAATTGATCCACAGGCCCACTGGGAGATGGAGCTTCCCGAAGCGGGGGCTTCCGCCCTCCTTCCGCTCACCAGATAGCATGGCCCTAGGGAAGGTAGGTAAGACTCCATTTCCTGAGGCCCTGAGTGGTGGAGATGGGGTAGAAAGGGGTCTGGACTGAGTCAGAGGGAGGAGAAGGGGGCTGGGGGACTGGACTCCCGGGTCCTGAGAGGGGAGGGGGATGGGGACCAACTCCTGAGTTTGAAGGAGGAGACCCAGGACTCCCGGGTCCCTGGCTCTTACCGATTCGGGTCCTGGCAGCACCCGGGGGCCCTGGCTCCGTTGGCCTGGGTGGTTCCCAATCCCACTGCTCTGGTTCAGCCTTTGCCTCTGCCCCAGCTCCCAGCACTGGGTGGGGGACAGGAAAAGGCAAGAGGAAACCCGGCAGGAAGAGCGGGGAGGGGGCGTCCTGTGAGGGGACCAGGCCTGGGGGAGGAGATCTGGGTAGGGCTGGCCCTGCCCCATCAAGGATTCTAGAACGACATCGCAGCCAGTTGCCCCCCTCTAGGACCTAGGCGTCCTGGTCCCCAGCCCTTCCTCCCTCAGACAGGATACCATCCTCAGACCTCTCGTCTTTGGGAACCAAAACTTAGGAGTAGTCCGGAGGAGTGAGTCAGACACTTGGACAACAAAATAAATCTTTATTGTTTCTTTGAGACTGTGGACTTTTGATTTGGAACCTGGGGGTGCTGCGCAGCCCCCCTGCCAAAGCGGAACGGGGAGGGCTTTTAGGATTCCGGATCCTTCCGAGGTCGAAGGAAAAATATCCTGGGATATTATGCAATTAGTGGAACCAGGTTAGATCCTGAGTGAGGGGCACCTCTCTCAACCCCCCCCCCATACGACTTTATTCTAGCAATCACTCAAGGGTCTCCATCCCAAGCACCCCGCCTTCTAAGAAAGCCCCCACCCTGTTATCTAAGCCCCACCCCAACTGAAGTCTTGCTCTCAGTTCTCAGTGCCGCCAAAGCCCCTCCTGCGCCAGGTGGCGGGAAGCCCCACCCCTCAATCAAGCCCCGCCTCTTTCAGCAGGCGGCTCACACGGTCGCAATGCCGGCTGTCACCACGGCAACGCCCGAGATCAGCAGCCATATGAGATGGCGTTTCAGCATCTTGTCAGTATTCGGCGCCTGATGCAGGACTGTGGTTATCACACCCGGAGCAGTGATGGTCAGTGGCATTGTTTCCTCCTGGATTGTTTTGGGCAAAACTGACAGAGAAGACGAGAAGAGCAGTCCGGGGAGGGCGTGAAGGCCCCACTCTGGAAAAGGCAACACCCCCAACGCCTCCCCAGCCCCAAGGCCCTCCAGGAGATAGTCACGCCTCCAACTACCGGAAGCCTCATCACTCGCAGAGGGAAATCTTGCCCAAGTGGCCAGAGGACACTCCCCTGCCAGAAGTCCCTCCCCGGAAGTTGACCCTAACACTCAGGGTCCTGAATCCTGCGCTTTTCTCAACCAAACAGCACTGACCTTTGACGTGAAAATGGATGATTGTGGCTGGGCTGTTGTTCACAGTGCCCAGCTCGCAGCGGTAGGTGCCTGCATCTTCTGGACCCACCATGGGCTTGGCCAGAATGGGATCTTTCCCCTTGGACACCAAGGTCTCAGTCTTGTTCTCCCAAACCTAGACCCAAGCTTAAGGAGTCACAGAGGCTTGGGAGATTCAGGAGTTGGGGGAGTACAGGGGTGAGAGATCACGGGGCCTCAGTGGGGGAGAAGGGCGTCCACGGTGTCACTGGTCAAGGGTATGGGGCCAAGCGGGTCAGTGGAGGCCCTGGTCATGGTCATGGGTTGTCATAGGTGCAGGGCAGTGGATGTAAGGGCTCACACAGGACGGATGGATTTGTAGTTCAAGGGTTATAGGAGTCGAGGGGCCCCCACCCTGTAAAAGCTGTAATCAGTGAGGCCTTGAGAGGCGCGATGCCAGTTGAGTTCACAGTCCAGGATCATGTCTTGCATTTGCTGGACCTCGACTTGGCGCTCTGGGGATGGGGAGTTACTGTAGGACACTCCCCTTCCCAGTTCTTCACCTTCCCTGACCCCCTTACACTTGGTCTTGGCACCTCCTTATCTGTCTCCAGTCTAGGCACTCTCTGAACTGGCTCCACCCCTCTTGCTCCAATCCCCCCTCCTTCTAGGTCCGGCTCTCTCACCCCCACAATCCTTGGACTTCCGGCAAGCGTGAACCTCCTTCTCGCAGTTATTACACCAGATCAGAGTCTGTAACATCAAACCTGAACAAGCAGGGTCAAAAACTGCATTTGCCCTCTTTAGAGGCAGGGGCTAAAAGCATAAGGTGGAGCCTAGGGACGGGTGGGGCCATGTGTCCAATCCCTGGGAGGCCAGACCGAGGGGCAGGACTAGGAAGCAGCCTAGTAGGGAGTGAGATGGAATGAGGTGCAATAAAAAGTGAAAAGAGAATGTGACCTGCTCCCCAAGAAGACCAAGGTGAAGGAAGGATACTAGAGACCCAGGAAACTCAGATACAGAGTGAAAAAAACACTGGGACCCTAAAAATGGGAGGGGGAAAATTTTGGTATTCATGGGGCAGGGATGGGGTTCGGGGACTACCTTCCACAATCCGAACTCACCACATTTATTGGGACAATAAACTGCCACAGAAAGGAAAAAAAAAAAAGAATCAGATGTCTATATTAAAAGGGATGGTAGTAGGGGTAGAGGAAGGAGCTGGGGGCTTGGACTGTTGAGTTTGAGGGAAGAAGGGCCTGTGTGCCTGGACTCCTGAGTCTGAGGGAGGAGGGGGCTGGGGGCCCAGACTCCTGCGCCTGAAGGAGGAGGGGGCTGGGGGACTGGACTCCTAGGTCTGAGGAAGGAGGGGGCTGGGGCTGGGACTCCAGGTTTGAGGGAGGAGGGGCTGGGGGATGGGACTCCTGGGTCTCAGGGAGCAGGGGGCTGAGGGGCTGGACTCCTGGCTCTGAGGGAGGAGATGATTAAGGGGCTGGGGATGGGAACTCCCATCTTTTCTCACATTCGTTTAGGAACTGAGCAGAGTAGTTGGCAAAGCTCTCCTTTTGCTGGTGCAACATCCAAAATAGCTCCTTCACGAAGAGTTCGCCTGGGAAGAAGCAAGAAGCAGAGTGGCCCCCCTCCCCCACCCCCTCTTGCTCCCCTGTGAGGTGTGTGAAGTTTGCGTCTGTCTTCAGAACATGACATTCTACTCTCTGGCGTTCTTAGGGAAGGGAACTGAAATATAATGCCAAGGAGTCCTAGTGGCACAACAGTAAAGTGCTCAGCAGCTAATCCGAAGGTTGGTGATTGGAACCCACCCAGCGGCTCCTCGGGAGAAAGACCTATCAATCTGCTTCAGTAGGATTACAGCCTAGAAAACCCTATGGGGCAGTTCCACCATTACGTGGGGTCACTGTGAGTCAGAACCCACTTGATGGCACCTAACAACAACAATATAAGGCCAGCCACTATGCCAAGCAATACACAGGTATTCATCCATTTCATCTTCCCAGCAACTGAGTGATGAAGGCACTGTTACTATGGTCTCAATTGTAGAGATGAGGAAGGTGTGAAGTTCCTCGAGCAAGGCCACACAGCTAGAAAGTGGCAAAGTTGGGATCTGAGCCTAGACAGTCTAGCTCCATCCAGATCCCAGGATCTGATCACCGTATGAGGCATCACCAACCACCACTTTCCTGAGTGATTCCCGAATCCAACCCTCCCACATCCTCAACGTCTACCTTTTACTTCAGTGTCCGTGATGCGTTTCAGATCCATCAGAAAACTCCAAGATGCCTTTTGCAGGGTGGGCTCATCTGTGGTGGGAGATACGCATTGAAAAAACCATTGCCATTGAGTCAATTCTGACTAATAGCATACCCATGTGACAGCAGAACTGCCCCATAGGGTTTCCTAGGTTGTAATCAATCTTTACGGGAGCAGACTTTTCTCTCATGGAGCGGCTGGTGAGTTTAAACTGCCAACCTTTGGGTTAGCAGCCCAGCGGTTAATCACTGCGCCACCCAGGGCTCCTTGAGGAGGGAGATAAAATCCCAGATTCTAGCTTCACTGCCTCTTTGGCTCGCCTAGTCTTAGAAACTACAATACCCATGGGGCTGCTGGGCAGTGATAGGCCAGGTGAAGGGATTCGCCCCGCCCCCCCCATGTCTTCTGGGAGTTGTAGTTTCATTACATAAAATTGCAAGGTAAGGGGTAGCGAACACAGTGTTTGCTAGACTAGGGAAACGCTGGTGGTGTAGTGGTTAAGTGTTACAGCTGCTAACCAAAAGGTCAGCAGTTCAAATCCACCAGGTGTTCCTTAGAAACCTTAGGGGGCAAGTCTACCCTGCCCTGTAGGGTCACTATGAGTTGGAATCGACTTGATGGCAAGGAGTTTTTTTGGGGGGGTGAATCTCAGAACCTGCATTCCAGGTTTCTCTCTTCGCAGAACACAAGGAGACCCTTCCCTCAGCTCTTTCCCCCACTGGACCCAGCAGTCCTGCCCCCAGCCCCTTCCTTCCCCAAGGCCCAGGAGTCCGTGCTCTTCCCTGCCCTCACCAACGGCCCCCATATAGGTTTCGTCATCCTTCGGCAGTTCCTTGAAATCCCGCACTGCGTCCTTCACCCTTTCCATCAGGCTTTTGTGAGCCTCGGGTGGTAGGTGGTCAGGCAGGTAATCTGTCTCCAAACTCTTCAGCCCCTCCGCTATCGAGGGTTCACAGATGATACAGCCAGGGACAGGAAGCAGGCAACCGGCCAGGGCCACCACCAGTAGGGGGAGCTGTGGTCCCATTGTGGCCAGAGCACGTGATCCACGGAGACCCACCCCCCACACTCCCTCTCGCCCCAAGGAGGGTTCTCTCACCGAAAACCGAAGAGGCAAACGCTAAATGGAAAAAGGCCAAAACTCATTTTAGGAGACCCCATTGTGCCCCTTATCCATGGTTCCCCAAACTGCGGAACAGAGGAATATAATTAAATTGCCAATCCAGCGGCCCCAAAATACAGGGTCCTTATTGACTCCCAAATGAGAGACCTATTAAACAATAAGTACTCACCAGTCCTCAAACTGAAGACGCTGAACCCCCATCCCATGCAGACTTCCCCAATATCCACACCATGAGACCTCCAACTCCCCAAATGGATGTCATCCTGAGCTCCCAACCTTAAGTTGATCGACAGTGTCGTGCTTGCTGTCACGTGCGGTAGAACCGACTAGATTCATGGCGACCCCATGTGACAGAGCAGAACTGCCCATACGATTTTCCTGGCTGTAATCTAGATGACCAGGCTTTTCTGCCGTGAAGCTGCTAGGTGGGTTCAAACCACCAATCTTCTGGTCAGCAGCCAAGCACTTAACCGTTAGCGCCACCAGGGCTCCTTGGATCAACACCGAGAGCCTCCCAAACCCCCAAAACCTGTTGCACCTCCAGCTGAAAACTCAGTGTCCAAGCCAAATAAACCATCCAATACAGAGCCACCCAGGGTGTTATCGAATTCAAAACTCCCTCAGATCAAATGCACCACAAGTCCCCCAAACCTGGGAACCCTACAAACTTAAGCAAGACTCCAAACGATCCTTCAAACCCGGGGGCCCTTGTCCATCCTTCTCCAAGACTAAGGGACCGCCAACTTGCAGGGGCACCCTTATTCTTAGGAAGTGAAGAACCCCAATGCACCCTCAAAAGCCGCTCCCAGACCTTGGGTTCCTGTTACGCCCGCCAATACTAGGGTTCGCCGAAGAGCCGAGTCCAGGTTCTGGGGACTTTTAGAGAAGAATCCCGGGCCACGTCCTTCTATTATTTTCCCACGACTAAAATGAAGGATTTTGTTGGGGGGCGAGGGTGAGGTTGGGTGCGTGGTATCGAGGGCTTTTCACTGGGGTCTGAGTCACGGGTCTCGCTTCTCTACAAGGAGCTCCCGAAGCCTCCAGTTTAATTTCCCACGTGAGGCCCGGGAATTCCCAAGATATTCCTGGAGCTTTTCTTGGCTCCGCCCAGAAGCACAACTCTGAACCTGATTGGACCACAACAAAGGTGGGCCCCGCCTATCGCGCCATGACGTCACAGAGGCTACAGGGTTTTGAAACAAGAACTTTCCCTCATCTAACGGATGGCGCGGGGCGGGGGAATGGCGTGTTGGTTAAATGCTACGGCTACTAACCAAAAGGTAGGCAGTTGGAATCCACTAGGCGCTCCTTGGAAACTCAGTGGGGCTCTTCTACCCTGTCCCATAGGGTTGGTATGAGTTACAATCGACTCGCCGGCAACGGGTTTTTAACGAAGGAAACCCCCTACTTGCTCCGATTTCCCAGGACTCAGGCTTCCGGCTACGTGCCCTCTTTAAAACTTTGCGTAGAAGAAAATGCAGGCAGTGGCTGTTTCTAGCCCTAGGACTACAACTCCCAGAAGGCCCTGGGGTCACTTTCTCCAAGCAGCAACCACAGCCAACCTCATAACATTATGGGAAATGTAGTTCAAGAATTATACTCAGCTTGCTCCTCACCTTCCCTCCCTAGTCTATGGGGCTGGATGCCAAGGTCCCAGACAGAAGCGTTGTATGAGATGCAATACCAAGGATCCTGGAGAAAGGAACTGGGGTCTCAGACCTCTGGGTTCTGGAAAGTGTCCTTACCTTTCTGCTTCATTGAAACAGGCCACCAGAAAAACAGCGACAACTAGCAAGTCACATAAGTCTAGCAGCAGAGGCTGCCAGATCTGATCAGGAACAACACCCCAAGACATTGTGGGTAACAACTTCCCCGGAAGCTCCCCACCTTCATCCTCTCTCTGTCTCTCTCACATGCACACACATACACATATCACACACCTCGAAGAAAGCTGCAGAGACTGAGGTCGGTGATCTGGGCTTTTAATTCATATCTCTTCGCTCCCACCTGTGGCAGCCAAGTTGGGAATGGTCCCCCAAAACTCCCTGAGAAGATAGAGAAGGGGCTTGGATCTTTGGATGAGTGAATGGGGAATGCGAGCAGAGGCTGACTGAAATAAAGGTATAGTCCTTCACTCTCCAAAATGCAGCAAGGTCCTCCAGAAATCTGAGTCCAGAATCCCGTCCTCCTTGACCGGACCCCGTGCTTCTGCCTGTTTTGGGGCTGGGCGCCACATCAGCACGCATACCTTTGGATCTTTTCATCCCGAACTTGCCCAGAGTTAAATTTAATAGTTCTGTGAATTCACACCAGCAGACAATAATTGGCAAGGGGACAGTACTTGTGGCTTTTTGCAAGTCCAGAAGGTATGTTTATGCTCCACTGACTCCCAGAAAACAGATTCTAGTACCCCTAGCAACCCAAATGCAGAGAAGAAAACCCCCTTAATTGTGAGAGGCAAACAACTCGGAGGCAAGATCTGCCACTTATTTAAATAAAATAATGTCCCTGGACCTCCGGAAAGGCCTGCTCTTGAAGCTGCACCATTTAAGCAACCATTTTCATGCCCCACCCAAACCTACTCCTCCCCAATGTCCATCTGCTAAAAAAAAAAAAAAAAACCTTTGTGGCTTTCTCAGGGCTGAAGTGTTAGACAGAGTCCTGCCCTGCTCACAAGCTGCCCCACATTTTCCAGAGCCTGTGAGCAGAACAATATGCTGGCCAGCTAAAAACTGAAAATCCAAACCCATTGCCATCAATTTCAACTCATAATGACCCTATAGGACACAGTAAAACTGCCCCATAGGGTTTCCAAGTCTGTAATTTTTATAGACGCAGACTGCCACATCTTTGTCCTGCAGAGCCGACCTTTCAGTTAACTGCTGAGTGCTTAACCACTGCACCACCAGGGCTCCTGCTGGCCAGCTAGAGAGTTTATCATCCAACTCTCAATCTTTCTGGCAGCGATGGCATGTTAACCTTCTGGTTGTACTTTCATTAAATTCTTCCTTGAAGTTATGTGGAATTCCAGAACTCATTCTTTCTGGAAAGGCCCTGCAGGGCTCTTCACAGGCGTCAGACCTCTAGAGCACATCTTCTCTAGAAGCATCCCAGAAACAAGGAGGGAAAAGGTGTTGCGTGCTTGCTCTAGAACAGTCACTGAAGGACTGAATTCGGTCAGTTCTCCTAGGACTCGGGTAGAGCACTACCTTTTCTAGAAAACACCCAGATGGTCAACAGTAGAGGGTACCCTGCTTCCTGGGAGATAGCCTTCTAGAAGTACTCTGGATACGGGCTGGGAAGAGCAGGTGGGCACTATGGCTTCTAGAACTGCCATGAGCTTCTCCAGAGATTGCTTGCCATCAGGAAAAAATGTTCTTCCAGCTCTAGAATGTTCCAGCGGCTCCAGAAAGCCACTGCCCTGCCACAGTCTCAAAGCGTGGCTAACTAGAATCACTCTGGAAATGGGCAGGGGAAGGTGTGGTACCCACCTGCTCCAGAAGCACCACATACTTCTCCAGAAGCTGCCAGTTCTCAGGAGACGCATAAGGTCAGCTCTGGTTTAATCAAAGTATTCCAAAAAATCTCCCTGCCTCCTTCTGGAGGGGAGACAGGTCTGCGGCAATGCCCACCCACTCAGGCAGGAAGGCAGCCTCTGGCTTAAAGATCTTCAGGAAGTTGGAATCCGGCAGGGTGAAGTTGGCCAGGTAGACAGCGTCTCCTCCAGCCAGGTAGGCAGCCCAGAAGCCAAAGGTGCCAATGGTCATGATGGTGTGGTTGCACTGTGTGAGCAGCGCAAAGTCCCTCCCTGGCGAGCCCTCCTGCCCATTGCCAGCAAAGATCACATCCCCTCGGGAGGTGTCAATGTTCTTCTGGCACCACTCCATGCCGTTGCTGGTGACCACAAAGATGGGGGCCTCGTACCGTGCCCGGAACCAGTCCATGGCCTGCTGGAGATAAGCACGGTCACCTACCACGCCCTTCCAGTAGTGAGGCATGATCCGCAGATAGTCCCCACGACGCACATGGACCCCCACAAAGGTGCGCGGAGGGTTCTCGGTGTGGCCCAGGCGGAGTGGCCTCAGTATGTTCTGGGCCTCCTCCCGAAGGTGCTCGTGGAGTGTGAACTCGCTGTGGATCTGTTCGCGGATGTGGTGGAAGAAAGTCCAGGAGTTAGGGAAGCCAAAGAGCTTCAAGTGGGCGTCCTTCAAGTGGGCGTACTCCTCTGACATCCAGTCGTGGAGCTTCAGCTTTCGCCAAGGCGTATGGCTATCCACTTCTGGCGCCAGCATGGGCAGAGTGATGCGGAACACGGGGGCCAGGGCAGCGTGCATGGCGGGCAGGATGAAGGCCTGGCGGCCATTGAGCTGAGCCAGGGCAAGCAGGGTGGCATACTGCCCCATCTGGTTACCGAGCCGGCCATTTGAATAGATGGTCCAGGTTCCGGAGAGGGAAGCAGGGCGCTGGGGACAGGAACAGCAGGTGTTGGTGGTCACTGGCGTGCCCGAGAGGCAGAAGATGGCCACAGGGGACGTCCCCAGGCAGCGGTGTGGACACAGGATAGACAGATCTAGGCCGCTTGGAAAGAGGTCTTGGATGAGGAGGAACAAGAAGATTGCTGAGAGAACACAAACTGCTAGGAAGGCCAGACAGAGGTGACGATGCTTGGGGGGCCACATGGCTGCAGGGGAGGAAAAGCGAATTAGCAGATAGAAGGTCAGAGTCGGAGCAGGAGCGGCAGGGAGGAGGGGGCTGGGGGGTGGGATTCCTGGTCTGAGGGAGCAGGAGCTGGGACTGGGAATCTTGCGGGATAGGAATGGAAGGACGGTGAAAATTGCGATTTCCAAAACAGCAGAGGTGCACGATTCTGCGCCTTTTCCTACCTCTCGGAGTCTCACTTTTCCTACTCGTAAGGCTCCCTGAAGTTAGATCGTTCCACCAGCCCCCTATCCCAGGTGTACCTGTGTGAGTGGCAGAGTCCAACAGCGGGATGAAAGGAAAGCAAGGTCTGGAGGTGCAGGACCGCGTTAGAAATTCGGCTGGCGGAGGAATCGAAGATGAGGTCGAAGAACTCTTGGGGTCTCCGGTTCAGGGTTGGGAGTGCGCGCTCCGGAGTAGGGCCGGATTCCTGGCTTGGAGACTCCCGCAGCGCGCACTCACCTGAGCTCCTAGCATTCGCAAACCCAGCCCACATCCGGACACCTCCGGAATCAGGGACGCCAGGTCCCCAGGCCCAGCAGCCCTACCCTCCACCCGGCCTCCCCCGACTGGCTGCTAGGGCGCGGGGAAGGGAAGAGGAGGAGGGGGCGCACGCCTCAGGTTCCAGCCTCCGCCCCCCAGGCAGGCCAGGTACTACCGAGATGAGAGCGCCCCACCCGGCCGCTCCGGGTTAGGGTGGCAGCGCCCGCCCCCTCTAGTCTCGGGGTCTAGGAGCTCGTAGCCCCAGCCCTTTCCTCCCACGCCCTTGGCCGGTCGGAAGTCTCTGGCCGGGCAGCTTACCTGGCCGCCAGGTACCCGCATCATTCCGTAGCCTCAGAGAGCTGGAGCCCAACTGCAATTCCAGATCTGGGCTTTCCGGCCCGTTGCCGCTCCTCCTCTGGTGCCTGGGCTTCCCATTCGCCCACATTACCTGGATTCGCCCAGCCCAGCCACGCTCCAGTCGCTGTGGCAGGGCCCAGACACTTGGGTCCACCCTGCCGCGTCCTCGCGGGGGAAGTGACAACATGTTTGCCGAGCTGCTCCTGGGGCAGATGGAAAGCCTGTTCCAGGCTCCCAGGAACCCAGGTGTCAGAGCCTCAAGCTTCCATGTGGCCTGGTGCCCAGAGGGGCCGCTAATCCGTCATCCCCGGCGGTCCACACACGTAAATCTAAAGTCCCAACCCCTGCCCTTCCTTCTTGGGATTTTAGAGTGCAGCGCCGAACTGCTACATTCTAGACCGACCAACCCTGAGGGACCCTATTTCTCAGAAGTGCGAGTGGAAATGTGCTTTCCCCTGCCTCCCACAGAGGTCCCGGCAGCTGGAGCCCTGAACAAAGGCCTCTCCACTTCCTCTCCTGCCAACCCGGGGCTGCTTCCATTGTCAACAGCCCTCCCTTAGCCCCCTCAACCTTCTCTCCCACCCCCATCCACCCTCGTATGGCCAGTCTGACCATTGTCATTCCAGATGATGCAAAATGGACAAGAGTCTGACTTGACTTGCCAAAGATTTGACCCAGGAGTCTAGGCCCCCAGACCCCTCCTCTCTCAAACCCAGGAGTCCAGACCCCGAAAAGACCTGGCCCCAAGCCACCTCTCCCCCAGATCCAGGAGTCTGGATCCCAGCCCCCTCCACCCTAGGACCCTAGAGTCTGGGCTCCTGCTCCCTCAGACCCAGTAATCCAGCCCCCAGCTCCCTCCTCCCTTGGACCCACAATTCCGGTTCCCAGCCCCCTCCTTCACTACCCAGGACTCCCAGCCTCCAGCCTCCTCCTCCCTCAGACCCAGGAACCAGGCGGGGGTGGTGGTGGTGGTGGTGGTGGTGGCCCAACTCTCACCTTTCTCAGACCTAGGAGTCTGGGGCCCCCAGCCCCCTCCTCCCTCAGATCCAGGAGTCTGAGTCCTCAACCCATCCCCACTCAGACTGTGAAGTCCAGACCCTGCACCACTGGGGGCCTCCAGGAAACTGGCCAACCCCACTCCCCCTCCAGCTCCAGGGTATAACTTCCCCTCCTGGGTCTGACTCAGCTACCAACTCTGAGTCAGACTCTGGCCAGCCTCTCCCTTCCCAGGCTATTTTGGGAGCACCTGTATGGGGGCCTGAGCAGCCTCTCTGGTGAAAGAAACACAAGGATTGCATCAGGGGAGGAGGAGGAGGCTGGACATTTATGTGTCTCCATGTCTGGACAGGGGTTGGGGAGGGGCAGCTTGGCACCAGCCCAGTGAGAGGTTGAAAGGCCAGACACCGGTGGCCCTTCTGAGAACTCTTCTTTCATGTGGCAGTTTCTTTTTTCAGAAGATCAAAGAACCTCATCATCAGATCCCTCCCGCCCTAACCTCAGAAATCTAGACATTCAGATGGAATGGAGCAATTCCAGTTGTAGAACAAAATCTGCCTCAGCCCACCAGGGAGAGGGTTTTATAACATCCCAGCCCCCTCCTCGAGACCCTGGAATCTGGGCCCCAGCCCCTCCTGCCTCAAGATCCAGGAATCCAGGCCCCCAGCCCCCTCCTCCCTCTGACCCAGGAGTCCTGACCCCAGCCTTAAATCCCCCAGACCCAGGAATCTTATCCCCCAGCCCCCTTTCACCCCAGGTCACAGTAATCAGGTTCCCTTTCCTCCTCTTTCCCCAGACCCAGGAGTCCGGGCCCCCAGCTGGAAGGACCCCCAGATTGCATCATGCATTCAGGCTGACTTGGCCACGGTGGAATCCTGGCTCCTGCCAAGTGGGTCAAATATCATGGGTCAGGTGTGTGGAGGGTGATTGGGTGGGTCTGTCTGGGTATAAATTCTGGGGCTTCTGCATCCATCTCAAAACACTGGTGTCCTGTCAGCTGGGAGTCCATGAGCAAGAGAACCCAGACATTCAAGGTACCCAAGCAGCAATCCTTGAATCTGCCCTCCCAGACCACCAGACTCTGGAACCCAGTCTAGACCATTCGGCTCCTCAAATCTCAACCCCAGATATCGCCGAAGGGCGTGAGCTATTGATGGACTGGGCCAAGTTTGGGTTCGAGCACCTGGGACTGTGGGTCCCTGTGATGGCTGTCCTTCTGCTGGGAGCCTGCCAAGGACACCCCATCCCTGACTCCAGCCCCCTCCTCCAATTTGGGGGCCAGGTCCGGCAACGTTACCTCTACACAGATGACGCCCAGGAGACCGAGGCCCACCTGGAGATCAGAGCAGATGGCACAGTGGTGGGGGCCGTCCACCAGAGCCCCGAGAGTGAGTTCAAGGCAGGGCCTGGTCCTAGGGTGGGGGCTGGGACGGAATCCAGGGTCCTAGGAGGAAGGAGCTGGGGACCCTGATTCCTGGGTCTGAGGGAGGAGGGGGCTGGGGACCTGAACTCCTGGGTCTGAGGGAAAAGGGGGCTGGAGGCTTGTACTCCAGGGTCTGAAGAAGGAGGGAGCTGGGGGCCTGGATTCCAGGGTCTGAGGAAGGAGAGGATTGGGTTTTGGGACTCTTGGGTCTAAGGGAGGAGGGGGCTGGGAAAGCGCCTCTGAGCCCCTGACCACTTTCTCTGATCAGGTCTCTTGGAGCTGAAAGCTTTGAAGCCCGGCATAATTCAGATCTTGGGGGTCAAGACATCCCGGTTCCTGTGCCAGGGGCCTGATGGGGTACTGTATGGATCGGTGAGTTTCAGAGCCCCCTCCTCCCACAAACCGCCATCACACTTTGGGATGATATGTCTGGCGCTTCCGCCTGGCCCAGGCTGGGCTCTCCGCTCTCTGCCTACTCCAACCTCGCTGGTACCCCTGGAGGTGGGAACTGTTGTGATCAGTGTTTGCAAGATGAGGACACTGAGGCTCAGGCAGGCACCCCAGTGGCTTCAACCCATGAGACAGGTGAATGGCCCAGTGGCCTGAGAAGCCAAGTCTTGTGACTCTGTGACCCATGCTCCTGACTCCACGGGCTCCTGTGTGCCTGGCTTATGCCTGGTGCAGGGACAGTCAGGAGTCCCATGGCCTGTGGGGTGACCCTGTGAACTTGGGTGGTGGCCAGACCCCCTGCCTGGCCTCGTGGAGCCCTGACTGGAACCTGGGCTGGAACATTCTTCTCTGTGAAGTGGGGAGAGGGATATGGGCCTTGCAGGACTGCTCTGGGGTAAAAGAGGAATCTGTTTTTGTTTCTGAGAGGAAGGGGCTGGGTTTGGGGACTCCTGGGTCTGAGGGAGGAGGGGGCTGGGGGCCAGGACTCCTGGGTCTCCCAGAAGGAGGATAACAAGGAATCACGTTGTCTCTAATCCCTGTTCTTTGTCCCCCCAGCTCCATTTCGACCCAGCCACCTGCAGCTTCCAGGAGCTACTTCTTGAAGACGGATACAACGTTTACTGGTCTGAAGCCCATGGCCTCCCACTCCGCCTACCCTCCCACAACTCCCCATCCAGGGACCCGGCATCCCGGGTACCAGCCCGCTTCCTGCCACTGCCTGGCTTGCTCCCAGTGCTCCCAGAGCCTCCAGGGGTCCTGGCGCCTGAGCCCCCTGATGTGGACTCCTCAGACCCGCTGAGCATGGTGGGCCCTTTGCAGGGCCGAAGCCCCAGCTATGTCTCCTGAAGCCACACATGGATTATTACTGGGTCTCCTTTTTATTTATTGGGTTATTTATGTTATTTATTTTTTCATTTTTCTTACGTGAAATAATAAAGAGTTGGAGAGAGGAAGATCAGAGTGAGCTCATGTCTGAATGTCTGAAGGAAGACGTGAGCCCTGGTTCCTGAAGGCCCCCCCATTGCTGTGAGGCTGTGGGAAGGTCCTGGCCTCCCCTGGGGCTGTTTTCTGCTCTGCTCTAGTGTCCACAGGGACTCTGGCCTCTTCACATCCTTTGATGGGACAGGCTTCACGATCCCCCACCTTGTTAGCATCGTGGAACTATATTTCTCAGGTTACCAAAATAACAGGATTTTTATGTGCGTGACACTGCAGAGCCACACCTCATGGGGGGTATAGTTTTCCGGGTTCATTTAGCACTAGGAATGGGGAGACAGCTTGGTCCTCAGAGCTGGGGCAAGGACGCTTGGGTCCTGGGAGTGGAGTTGGCACCACTTTTAGGTCCTGAGTGACCAGAAAGCTGGACATCTGGACACTTGGGTCCCAGGAGAAGAGCAAAATGGGAATCTAGACACCCTGGTCTAAGGGAGGAGGGGGCCTGGACTCCTGGGACTGAGGGAGGAGGGGATTGAGGGCCAGGAGGCTTGAGTCTGAGGGAGGAGGGCGCTGAGACTCCTGGGTTTGAGGGGCTGGGGGCCAGACTCCTGGGTCTGAAGGAGGAGGAGCTGGGGGCCCAAATTATTCTATCCAGGTGCTTATAGACTTTGGAGTGAAATGACTATTATGCAATCCTGCCAAGCCAATAGCCCGTTCTTCCTTTCCTTCCACACCTGCTTTCCCATGTTGTTTTTCATTTACTGGTTGGGAAGGACGTGAGGAAAGGGATTTGACTTACACTGGCTGTGTCCCAGGTGTCTGATTACCGCGGCCTCCTGGGAGTTGTAGTCTCAAGCACTTTATTTAACCCCAAGTTTCAAGAGAGAGGAATTTTGGTTCAAAGGATGAAACTGGGTCCCTGAGGATCGTGGTATTCAGTGCCCAGAAGAAATGAAAGCCTGGAATCTTCTGGAAAGTTCCTGATGGAACTTGCCTGGCTCAATGAAGGGGAGGAACATTCTCACTGGAAACAGAATCCTAGAGGCCCCCAAACTTAAGGGGAAGGAAGGGTTCAGGTCCTGGGATGACTAACGTGAGATGTGAGTTGTCATCAGAAGAGTCCACCAACCTCCGTCAAGGAAAGGAAACACACCCTGGTGAAGTGAGGGTAGGAGGAAGCAGTGGGCTTCACCCAGACCACTTTCTACCACCACACTCACGTCAGGGCTGGGAATCTTGGAGAACGTAGATCCAGAAAAGAAGAAAGAGGGACTGGAAGGGGGTGTGTGTGACAGAGACCCAGAGAGAGGGGGACAGAAACCCAGAGACAGAGAGGGACAGACACCCAGAGAGAGAGAGAGGGACAGAGACCCACAGAGAGAGGAGGACAGGGACCCAGAGAGAGGGGGACAGAGACCCAGAGAGAAGGTGGGACAAAGACCTGGGTTGAGGGAACAGAGATCCAACAGTGTGTGTGGGGGGGGGGGTACAGATAGGGAGACTGCAAAAGGTGTTCAGATGGGCACATTTCACTGTAGCTGAGGACCTTGAACCCCCAATTTTTTTGTGTCTCCTTTGTCTGTAGAATCAGCCCCCTTTCCCTGGTCTGAGCAGGGTCATGCTCCCTCCGAAGACTCTAGGAGAGGATCCTTCGTTCCAGCTTCTGGTGGCTGCAGGCATTCCTGGGCTTGTGGCAGCATCTCTCCAATCTGTGCCTCCATCTTTACATGGCCTTCTGTGTCCCTGTGTGTCCTTTTCTGTCACCTAAGGACATTCTTACTGGACTTAGAGATCACCTTAATCCAGGATGATCTCATACCCATCCCTACCTTAATTACTTCTGCAAAGACCCTATTTTGAGGCTTAGGGTGGGTGTGGATTTTGGGAGGACACTGTGAGTGGAGTTTTAGAATTTAACTTTACCCAAAGTAATTTGGTCTTTGTCCTCAGTTCTTAAAAGATAATTCCTGCTGTTGTTGTTAGGTGCTGTGGGGTCAATACCGACTCATAGTGACCCCATGTGACAGAGTAGAACTACCCCATAGGGTTTCATAGGCTGTAATTTTTACAGAAGCAGATCACCAGGTCTTTCTCCCTCAGAGCCGCTGGGTGGGTTTGAACCACTGACCCATCAGTTAACAGCCATGCACTTAACCAGGGCTCCTTAGATAATTCCTAGAACCTTGGAATTTCAATAAAGACTTCAGAGCTGGGGTGACTCTGGGATGGGGGACTGGCCAGGCCAGACGGACTTACAGAGGTGTGATGGATCACTTTTGTGTGGCCTTTCTAGCCATGGTCTTGTAACTCCCACCCAAGTGATTGGGCAGGACTGTGTGATAGGGTAATTGTGGCCCACCAAGGGGATTGGTCAGTTTTGCCATCCCGCTGGGCTTCAAATGAGCCACCCCAGAGGCAGAGAAGAGAGAATCCCACCACCACCAAGGAAGGACAGCCAGGAGCCAGCACATCCCTTGGACCCAGGATCCCTGCACTGAGAAGCTGCTGGAAGCAGAGACGGGGCAGAGAGAGAGAGAGCTGTAACCCTGAAGATGGCGAGAAGGGGTGGCAGGAGACACGGGCAGGAGACTGCGAAGTCAGCTTCTCGGCCCACAGAGAGAGAGAAAGCTGAGTGAATGCCTTTGGGCAGAGGCCAAGAGCCAGGGAGAGTTGTGCCTGCGAGCACGACTGGGAAGAGCCTGTCCTGATGGAAGAACTGTGTCTTGAGTGTTCCTGAGCCTGAAGTGTAACTTCCCTAATAAACCCCATAATCATGAGTATTGTCTGTGAGTTCTGTGTGGCCATGGCAATGAATTATCAAACCTAGGAGAGAAGTAGCGAGTGAGGTGAGCGGGACAATTGGTGTCAGAGTTGGTAAAGGTGGCAAAGAGAGGACTCAGCATAGGAATCAGCATTGGGCTGTTGATCTTAATCCTGATTCTTCTTTTCCCTTGTGAAGTTAGAAGAGGTCGGACAGCACCCCTACACCATTTTTACATTTATCTTGTACTGATCACCACACATTCGCCAGGCCAGAGAGCCCTCAATTCATAGTGCCTCATGATCACCTCTTGATATCTAACCCCCTCAGGCGAGAGGGGCTGGAGTTTGTATTAAGTAATGAGACTCCCAATAAAGGTTCTGGACATGGAAGCTCCATGGGCTTCCTGGTTGGTAAAAGACCTCCATGCACATGAGAGGGTGGTGCATCCCTTTTTTGGGACATGGAAGCCCCGCTTTGGGGACCATCCTGGACCTGGTCCTATGTGTCTCTTTATTTGTGTCCTTTCTTTCCTTACAATAAAATTGTAACAGTAAGTATAGCACCTTCCATTAGTTCTGTGAGTTGTTTCAGTGAATTATCAAACCTGAGGGAGTAGTGGAAGCCAGCAGGTAAGAAGTGAGGGGGGCTGGGAACCCTTGAGCTTATGGCTGATATCTTGAAGTGGTAGAGAGAACCCCTGAATTTGTAGCCAGCAGGTCAGAAGTGAGGGAGCACAGTGGGTCCCCCAAGCTTGCAGCTGGCATTCTCAAGAGGTAGAGGGAAACTCCAAATCTATAGCCAGCAGGTCAGAAGTCAGGGTGTTATGTGGGCTATTTGGCGGTCTAAAGGACAGTGTCCTTTTACCTTGTGAGCTCTGATCTAGCTCCAGGTGGCTAAGTTCAGAGACAGAAGTACTGCGTGGGCAGCTTGTGTCAGTTAGACAGAGGTCCCCAGGCTGCGGAAAATTCCACTGCCTCAGGCAGCTTGCTTGACATGCCCCGTAGCTTTACATTAAAATCCTGGTTCCCCTTTCCTTAACCAGTTTAGGTGCCATGTTGACATTCAGGACACTGTTTTAGCTTATCAAATACCTCATACATAGTAACATCCCCATCTCTGGGTGGAGTTTAACTGCCATTTTCTGATCATGCGAAGCATGAAATTCTATGTAAACCCATTGCACCTGCGTAGTATGATTAAGTATGTTGCTGATGTAACTTGTATGAACTTCCTACTTGTAAACCCTTTAAAAGTGACCTTTCCCCTCACCCTTGCTGAGCAGTCTTGGAGGCACCATCCCCGACTGCTCCTTTCCTTGCGCAACAAAATAAAGGTACACTTCCGCTCTCCCACTTCGTTCTCTTGTTTATTGGCTGAGATGAGTTGCGCCAGGCAGAATCTGGGGTTTCCACCTGGCAACATCAGAGCCGAACTGAGAAGCTAAAAATGGGGATATGTGCTGATTATCTATCTGTCTGTCTGTCTCAGCTCCAGGTTTTGTCTGTCTGTTTTCTCAGACCCCAGCTCTGTCTCTCAGTCTCAGACCCAGGCTGTGTGTCCGTCTCAGCATCGCCTTCTGTTCCACTGTCAGTCTGTCAATCTGTTTCAGCTCCATGTTCTGTCTGTCCTCTTCTCAGCCCCAGGCTCTCTCAGTCTGCCTTAACCCCAGGTTCTGTTTATCTGCCTCAGTTACTGAGTGTCTGTCTGTATTTCAGTCTATCTCAGACCCGTACTCTGCCTGTCTGTCTTTCTTAGGCTCTCTTTTGCTATATTTCCTTCTCCTGCTCTTTATCTCTGAGGGGCTGAAGCCACGGGGTCATGGAGAATTCTTTTCTGTGCAGGACAGCCTCTCACAGCACAATGTGTGTAACGATGCTTATTTTCCAGTTAACGCCAGAACCTCTATTAATCATTTGATCCTTCAAGACAGCCCCATAAATTCTCACAATATCTTGGTTTTATGTTATCTTTTATAACAAGAATTGTCTTTTATGTTATCTTGGACTCCACTCAGGTCCAATCATGTAGAATCACTGTGTTCCCTCTGTCCAGCTCGCCAAATGTCATAGCAGCAATTTTCTTTAATCTTCAAGTCCTTCTTGGGGCTTGTTTGACAAGAGAGCAGATGGGAGGGTCTGAACAGTTC